CAGCAATATGATGAAGGAAAGCTCTCTTTTCATTCTGCCTGTGTACGATTGGCTGGGAGGACGAGAGGGAGGTTAGTGAAGAGGTCGGTAAAGACGGAGAGGGTGGGCAGGACACACACACACACACACACACACACACACACAGCTCCAGGCCAGAAACTGAAGGAAGGGGTTAGTAAATGCCAGAGGAGGAGAGAGCAAGAGGGGAGGGCATGACATTCAGACCATATCATCTACAAATCAACTGAGCTTGTGACTAGACTGTGGAGAAATTGGGCAAAGGAAAAGACTATACACAAACTGCGAGGAAAAATGATGCAAGACTTTGAAGACAAACTCACAGCGATGTAACTGAGCTTTTTCCAATCTTTCACAAGTTTTATTTAAGGGTTTTGAGTTACAATTTTAAGTACACAGTAGCATCAAATGAATTTCTCAGTAAGTTTAATAAAATAGTCTTTGAATTGGATTTGGATTAGCTGTCATGGTACAGAAATTGCTCTCAGAGTGATCGTGAGGATATTGTTTGCCAGTGTCAATGCCATTATAATGGTGGGGTGGATTCAGCCATCCACCTTAAACAATTTATAAACAATGTATTTAAAATCATCATTATATCGTTATTAATTATTGTTCTTGCCGTGGAGGGCCTTTAGTTTACACACTAACTCTCCATCATTTTCTATTTTAACACTGGTTCTGGTTTCTTTGAGTGTCAGTAACTGTTTTTTGTATATATTGATTGTTATGTTTTTATTTAGGTCTTAATGTGCGCAGATGTAAAAATGTGTCTTTGACTGTCTGTGTGTGTGTGTGTGTGTGTGTGTGTGTGATATATATATATATATATATTTGCACACATGTTTTTATATACATTTGTTTTTATATTCGGGATTGTGGGAAACGGTATTTCGATCTCTGTCTGTACACACAAACTGGAAGATTGACAATAAAGTTACATTTACTTTGACTTGATTAGGGAAACAGCTTCTCTTTTAAGATCAAACTAAAAATAATAATCTTAATCCAGGGTCTTTCTCAACAGAGAGCTTCCTGCAGTCCTCACCTCCATGATGGGGTTGGAGGCCAACACCTTCTGCTCCACGTTGGCCTCGCTGGTGGTGCCGCTGACCGTAGCAAAGTATCTCATTGCGTATTTGGCCGATACCGTTTTTCCAGCCCCGGACTCCCCGCTCACAATTATCGACTGGTTCCTCTCGTCCCTAAAAAAAAACAACATAAGGATTTACCACATGTGGAACATTGGATAACTGTCTACTCTGCCTGGCATAAAGGTGCTTTTAAGCGCTTCATAGCCTAATGACTTTAAATATAGGGTGAAAGGGTTAAGGGTGATGATTGTAATGTGTACTGAGTGTGATAATAACATAGTTAGGACTCGGGCAGATAGAAAGTGTCAGATAGGATCATCCACAATCATCCCCTGCAGGCAGACCGGTGTGAAAACAGCTTATTAACCCTTTGTGTTCCTTTGCAGGCTCTAATATATCTGCACTTTCACCTACTTATTTAAAGGTGACCTATCATGCAAAATGCACTTTTGTACGTCTTGTATACATGAATATGTGTCCCCGGTGTTCCAGGGAACTCACCAAGTGTCAGAAAACACAACCCTCTCTATTTTCCTCCATACCCAAATCTCTTAAAAAGAGGCTGCAACGGATCTGATACAGACTGATCCAGATTTGAACACTTCTATGACGTCACAGAAGTGGCGCTACGGCTATTGGGCCAACTCCACCAATCAGGAGGAGACAGCCACGGACATTGCCGTTCAAAAGCGCTGGAGACGCTGTAGTATATATGCCAGGCCTGTAGATGGTGCTGTTCTCACAGAATCAGCCCATGCAAAGACAGTTTTAAATTGAGCGAAATGAGGAATGGCTAAAATGCATGATCTGTTTGGTATTTTGAAAAATAAAAAGTATAAATATGCCTTTATATAGGTATGGTCCTACAATATATTATTCAAATATAGCATGATAGGTCCTCTTTAAAGAAGCAGTGTGCCAGCTTTCTCTGAAATAAGTCTGAGCTGCTGGTCCGAAGGCTGATTCTATCACTATCTTTTTCTTCTTTGGCATTTTCCTACCTTTGGCTCTTATCTCAGCCCTGGGTATTTGCTTGAATTTCTTCTCTCAGTCCTTCTTTATTATTTTTGTCTCAAAGTTAAAAACATTCAAGGAAAGGACGGTTGCTGTTGTGGGCATGTGATGCATATTTGAGACTTTTGATCTCAAACCATGCAAAGAAACTTGACTAGTGTTTCACAATCACTTAAGCAGAGTGTTACCCATCAGTGTCAGCTGATCTGATTTAAGTTATTATGTAAAGAAAATATGACTTATTGCATACTTGTATGTCATTTTCAAATATTCCGTTTTGTAATTAAAAGGTGCTTCTTTATTACCAAGGTGCTAGGGAATTTACACCGGCTCCGTGTAGGTATTCATACCTTCTTAGTAAGTATTAACAAACTTATTGTAACACATAGCACTGATTTCTCTGATTCATTTTGTGAGCCAGTAGATCAGCGGATGGCTCTGTGATAATCCCAGATCTCGGATGGTGACCAGGCATTTGCTCTTTAAGCCTCCAGACTCTGGAACAATCTGCCTGTTGATATTTAACAGGCTACACTGCAACATCTTATATTATGAATATAATTGATTGTGAAGCCCTACATTTTATGTTAGGCATGAAGTTGTAAAACTGTTTTCCAACAGAGCTACGTCTTAATGGACAAACTGAGAGGGTGACTGCCAGCCTCAACTTAAACTGAGAAGAAAGAAAGTAGGGAGAACTTAATGGTATAGTCCTGATAAATACAAGCATATACATACAGTATGTGACAAACTCCTAGAGGGTGGCAAGAGAGATATACTGGTTTGTTCCTGCTGTAAAAAAACAGCATTAAAAACAGTGTGTGTGCGTGATTAAAAAAAAGCAAGACATGGAGAGAGTTGGTGAGACCACCATGGGTTTATTTCTGGATCAGCTTTGACCTACAAACCCAGAAGAGAGAGGGAGGAGACTAGAACCAAGGCTACTCAGGTAACACACACACACAGACCTGGCCATCTGTTTGTAAGCCTCCTCTGCCACAGCGAAGATGTGAGGGTCCATATCTCCCGTGTTCTGGCCGCTGTAGGCGTTGATGATGTCGGATCCATAGATTTGCAGCGGCTCATACGGGTTGATGGCCACCAGAACGATTCCTGCAGCACAGAGGGAAAGTGTGAGCTCACCTGCAGCTGAACTGGGCCGCATTCATCAGGAGACATACTGAGGAGATGCTGCTTTCAGTCTGAGAGGGTAGGAAATGTAGTCAAGTACAGAATTCTATGTACAATTTTGCACTAATGTAAATTCTCAAATATTGAAGTGACTGTTATGTTGTATATATTGATTGTTGTGTTTTTATTTAGGTCTTAATGTTTGCACATGTAAAAATGTGTCTTTGATTATATATATATATATATATATATATATATATATATATATATACATACATATATATATATACATATATATATA